TAGCGTGTATAGAAGAGATCATTTCATCCGCATGTGATCAAAAGAGGCAACATAAAACTGTTTTTATATAGTTCAGGTGGATACACCTTCAGGAATAAACCTATTAACTGTTTATATATATATTTTTTTTGTTTCGGTTTAACTTCACTAAGCACCACGTGTGTTCAGTAAAGAGCCCGTTTATGGAACCAGCAAATATTGGTGCTGCAGTCCTTAGGTGGGATCTTTATTTCTAATTGGGCAACGGAGCACAGCCTTTCCGATCTTGGAGCCTCTCACATCTGGCGCTGCTGTGCTTCGGTGAGCTCAGGGTGGCGAGGCAGCCCCCCCGTGAGAACCCCACGTTAAGCTTGGGCAACAGGCACAGAGCTCCACACACCCTGGGTTGTTTATTCCGTGGCGAAATTCGCTAGCATCTGAATTGCAAATGAATTACCAAGAGCAAAATCTCGAGCTTTTAAAAGGCTGCTAAAATATGGAGTAGTGCAGCCGCTTGTTTATTGATCGTAAGTTGCAAAATGGCTGACAATTTTCACCTACTTAAAAATGTCCACCGGGGGAGTAAAAAGGGAAGGGTTCCCAGCTCTGCAGCGCGTAACAAAATGCTTCTCTGCAGTGAATGCCCACATTGCACCTTTGCTATACCTTCTGGGGATACTGTAGGTAGCCAGCTGGTAAAACGTAGTGGTCTTTCGCAGTAGGAGTCTGTGGAAGGCTTTTCGCTTCATGACATCAGTTGAAGCCAGGGCAGTTCAGTGCTGATGAACATGGCCCATGTTGTTTTGTATGCGAACAGTCCTGACAATAAACCTGAGAGCGATGATTGATGGATATTACAACCACACTCATCTTCATCTACTACCTCTGCAACAGCCTTGTGACATATTTCTTGAACAGTCTGGGGGGGGAATCCCATTGACTGAGACCTGCAGTCCAACAGCAGACTGGCAGTTTTAAAATATACTGCCAGATTAGCACAGCAGAGCAGATTAAATTAAATGTCCTGTTTTAAAAAATAAAGAATTGTTCCTTGAGCTCAGCCTTTTCTAAGGAAGGCACCATAAACACTCACAATACAACTTTTAAGTTTATTTGAGTCTTCATGATTGCCAGACAAGACCTCAATGAGTCACGCACATATGTGTATCTTTATTATTGGAACAGATTCTGGCAGTGCACAGTGAAACTGAGAGAAATGGTCAAGTATAATGCATTTTTTCTCTTGATCCTAATTGGAATTGTTATTCCATTTCACATTGTGAATTAATTTGAGTCCTTTCATCTGCAGTTTAATTACATGATCGATAGTGTCTTTAAAAAACCCAGTAGACAGCGAAGTAAAAAACACACAGCATTATGATAAATCTCTTTTAATCTCTGTTGCAGCTGGCTTGACTCATAAGTGTGCAGGTTAATAGTTGTAAAATATATTACTGTATGTTTCTACAGCTCCGCCCAGTCCACGACTTAGGTCTCAATGCAAAATTAATATCAAAGCTAATTCTATATAAATGCCAATACTGTGTTCTTCTATGTTGTAAATTTCTAGGACTGATGTGACTGCTTAATCTCCTGTGGGAAAGGCGTTCTCGAATATTAATTATTTCCCTCTTTAACAGTTGTTCCTCCTTCCAGGGGAAAAGGGTGTCTTAAACAAGAGTAGAGAAGGGAAAGGGAAGGGAATATATCATGATCAACCTGCGTTGCACCCAGTACAATCCCCAACTAAAGCCGATACCTTCATGTGTAACAGCAATCTGCAGGGAAGTGAATCGTTTCTCTTCATAATGGCGCACAGCTGTGTCAAATGTTATCCCTTTCAATCCACTCATCCATTTCCTAACCCCTCCTTCCAGTTCACAAACACAGTCGCACCAGGACCTACTTTCCCAGAGGACAGTTGACCTACCAGAAGGTCTTTGGGCTGTGGGGGAAAACCAGAGCACCCAGAGGAAATCCACATGAACACAGGGAGAACATGCAAGCTCCACACAGACAGCACCCTGGGTTCGGAATCGGACCCATGGCCCTGGTGCTTTGGGGCAGCCATGCTGACCACTTGCCTCCCTATCCCTTGTGGGATGGTACATATTTATTGCGACTAAATATGTACAGTACCTCAATATTGTGGCTAAAGGTAGCCAAACAGGCCTTGGTCATGATCAACGGTCTTGCTTTCCTTCGTGTTAAAATCTGTGTGTTATTTTCTGCCCAACTATTACTTGGTTTAACTATAGTTTCAGTGTGAGAAATCCCTATTTTTTTTGTTGGGATAAACTTAGCTACTGGACAAAAGTATTACTGAGCATATTCTGATTGATTACCCATCACCCTACAGTAGGCTCTAGGAAATTTTCCAGTCAATTAATGTTAATAACTTATTGATTGCAGCCAAGCTCTGGCTAACAGTCCTCCAGTGCACTTTGTCATCTCTGCAGGATGTTAATGGTTTGGAGAAAAGCAGCAGCACCTTTACTCAAAGAATGATACAGAAATCATATTTCATATTGAACTCTATTTTTACCTTCTGCTCTTCCTTAGTTCCTATACCTAATAAAAGCTAAAAACTGACATATATAGTTATACGTGTTGCCTTTTTATTACAGCCTATATTAAATAAAATATTTATATCATGTGCAGTATTTATTCATGTGAATTTCAAATTCTTAGCATTGCAAACTACATTTTATAAGCAATATCATGATAGCAACAATAAATTGGTTATGCAGGATAATGAATTAGTAACAACTTTCTGTTAAAGGAATTTGTTTTGCATCATGTTTCAGTGCTGTATTTGAACTATTTGTTGCATTAATCAGTGTTAAAACCCAGGTGCAGCACAAAATGTGGGAGCTCTGATCTGGTACTTTAACTGTTAGGATAAATGGAAATTAAACTGTACAATTATTACCAAAATTTAATGTGCTTTCACTGTTACTGCTGTTAAACTGAGTCATCATCAGCCCGCTGTGTGCATTTAGAAGCCAGAATGTAATATGGAATATGAAGCCTCTCTTTTCCAAAACTCTTCTACAAAAGAAGCATTTATGTGCTCTCCATGGTGCTGAAATATTTTTGGCATACCTATTGTTTGGGAACAGTCTGTTTGAGTACATGTGGATAAGATTGGCAGACTTTTATTGCCAAAATGGCACTATGGTCGATGTGGACACAAAAATGTGGATTTCTATTTCTGTTATCTACTTTGAAGTATAATCTACTGTCGGTGTGTTAGTTTTTTCGCCCTTCAAACCCTGCTGCAGGCAAACAATGGCCATTTTACCAACTTTTCATCTACGAAAATGTTAAGAGCACCAATGATGAATAAGTAGTACTGTTTTGATGTGTGAATGTATCAGATACACAAATATTGAGAGGGTTATGAGGTTAAAAAAAATCTGCAGGACTAAAAACAGGCTTTAAAGACACAATTTCACTAATATCATCACAGTGTCCCAGCTGCAGTGTTTCCTGTAAAAAGCTTTCTTTCTTGGCTGTCTGACAGCGTCATTACTCGGTCAACTCAAATGATTTTTGAATGACAGTATATGAAACATGAAATAAAGGCCACTACTGTTACCATTATTTTTAAAGTACCTGTAAATTAGGAAAATAACATCTTCACTGCAAATGTGGTGTGAATTTTAAAAGCAAAGATAGTACCTGTAAGAGGAAACACAAGAGAATCGCCTTTGAATGCAGTGCAGCTTGCTATGGCTCTTGCCTTTGACTGGAGTAAAGTGTGCTGTGCTCTTGCCTTTGGCTGGAGAGCAGTGTTCTGTGCTCCTTAAACTCTCGTGTCATCAGGTTCTGGCTTCCTGTCTTAGTTATCACTGTCTTTGCCAAGCTACTGAACCTCCTCAAGAAAGGCAGGATCCAGCTGCTGTTCAGCTCTGGCTGTGTCTGCCACACCAAAAATCCCTTTCCTTCTCTTTTTTTTAAGTCTTTTACTTTTCTAAATCATGCCCCCCTCCCCTCCAGGGAACTTTAAACATGAATACTATCGATTTTTTTGTGGCGGTCAGCAGGTCATTATCCAAAAGTTGAGAAATTAACTATAGCACAGTGCATCACCTCATCCTTTTTTAAGGCTTGCTTCAGGTTTACACATCTAAGCACTAACTTGAGATTTTAGGAGCAAGTGACTTTTTTGGGACCTTGTAAAACCACGCACTATAAAGGCATCCTTATTTGCATTTAATAGCCAATGGAGTACAATATTTGGAGTGAGATAAAATATGCCCTAAGTCTAAAGATGCTCTCCTGTCCCATAGATGTGCTTAAACGTAATTGCTGTATGAATTAAATTTAACAGTGCTGGCAAACTCCTCAGATTTTTTGTTGCAGCAAAGTTGCACCACGCGAGCACACATCCGCGATGTCAGCACCAGTGAGTTGAGACCGCATGAGAATTTATCAGTCTCGATAAAGTCACAAGTGAACCATGACCTATAAAACCTGGAGACACGCTTCCTGTTTCAGTCAGCTCATTTATTATCTCCTAAACATGAGCGCAGAAATCACCGCTTACATTCAGTAATTACAAGCTCCCACACTCCCCGGCCTGCAAATTGATGGCATAGCTACGCTGTTCCTTGCACAGTTTTGAATGAAGCTGTTTAACCGAATATTGTATAGAGCACAGGTAATTAAAAAGTGTGGTATTTTAGTCTGCCGTAAAACAGAGAATGTTTTTTTTTTCTGGTCCTCCAACTTTCACAGGTGCCACACTCTCTAGAATTAAGCTTAAGGTCAGTTTTTTGCTGCCACATTTATCTCCCTTGAAGTATTGGTTTGTTTCCCAAAGAGGTATTGCACAAAGCGAAAAGTACTGCATGAGGAGACACCGTACCAGTCAAAGAGAGAGTGGACGCTTTTGTCTGCTGTTCCTTGTCAACGCAGACTGGTGTCTGAGTACATGTTTTAACATGGACAAGTGCGTTGAACCAACTTGCTAAGGTTTTCATTTTTGCTTTGTGTTTCTGCTTTTCTCCTTACAGAAAAAGGAATGGCTTTGCTTGAACTGTCAGACTCAAAGACTCCTTTCGGGAGGCCTAGGGGACGCTCCTCTCCCTGTTCCTCAGCCGTCTCCCAAGCACCAACCCGCAGGTTCTCCCCGGCACCAGCCCACAGCAGCCCGGCAGCCGCCGGCGCCGACGCAGACCCCGCAGAAAGGGACCAGCCCGCAGCACGGGCCGAAGGCAGCGCCTCCGCAGCAGAAACTTCCGGCCTCTGCGGGGAGCGGTCCCTTCTCTCCGGCGAAGCACCATGCAGCCCCTGCTCAGGACAAGCCAGCAGCCGGTGCCACGGGCGAGGCCCAGAAACAGCAGCTGCTCGCGGAGAAGGACAGAGTGACTCCCAGACCAGGGAGAGAGGCCGACACTCCACCTGCCTCCAAAGACAGCAAACCAGCGCCAAAGAAAGGTGCACCTGAACCCATTACTGCCATCACCCCAGCAAAGGAGTCAAAGAAGCCAGGAGAATCCCAGAAAACAAGGCACCATGATGTGAGTCTTTTGTTTATAGTGGTTAAAGAATGCCAGACATTTAATGTAAGCCCCCTTTTCCAGTGGTATGGATATACATATTTTTATGTTGTCACTATTAATTATGCTGTTACTCATGAAAAACTGCTACCAAGCTGAGTGTAAGAGGGAAATCTCATCAGTATATTACCGACAACAGATAGCGCAACGTGCCAAGAGTAATGCTTGACGGTCCCAGCTGAACACTACAGCCACCTTCTTATTCAGGAAAAGCCTGTGAAAATAGTGCTGACAAGGCAAATGCATGACAAGATTAAGTGTTTATGGAAAAAAATGAGGCAGTGTTCTGTTTCTTATTTCCATTTTAACGAAGCTCACCTCTTCTTGGATTAAATCGACTGAATCAATTTATTGTTACAGGAGTGTGTATCAGTTATGAGTAGCGTACGTTTAATACTGATGTTTATGCTAGTAGATCTTTGGCTGGTAACTCCACTGGAAAGCAAGAAGATGAACTTATAAAATCTGCATATATCTGAGTCTACAGTATAGAAAGTTTTGTAAATATTTGTACATTTTGACCTTTCCAAAAAGTTTAGGAAACGGTAAGTCCCGGTAATGGTTTCATATTTTTTCTGTTTCTCCTTCTGTTGTACCACCAGGAGGCCCTTAAATCCAGTACGCAAGACCTGTCGCGGAGCCCACAGAGTCTGAGTGACACGGGCTACTCCTCCGACGGGATATCCAGCTCTCAGAGCGAGATCACCGGGCTGATCCATGAAGAAGAGATGAAGCTGAGCGAGCGAGGGGCCGGTGAGCACAGCCCCCCGAGCCCGTCGGAGATCACCAAGCTGGAGAGCTCCATGCGGCCGCTGCTGGAGTCCAAGTCCATCTCAGACGGCGACCAGAAGGGCCGGGGGAAGCAGCAGCACCACCACCACGACCCCAGGGACGACCCGAAGCAGAAGCAGAGGCCCCGCTCCCTGTCCATCACCCCCGAGGCGTTCGACTCGGATGAGGAGCTGGAGGACATACTGGAGGAAGATGAGGATTCGGCGGAGTGGGAGAACCAGCACGCCCGCCGGGACAGCCTGGCCGAGTCGTCCGATGACTTCGGCAGCAAGCTGCGCCACGACTACGTGGAGGACAGCAGCGAGAGCGGGTTCTCCCCTCTCCCCGGCCGGCCGAGGAAGACTGACTCGGAGATGACGGATGAGGAGTTCATGAGGCGGCAGATCTTGGAGATGAGTGCTGAGGAGGACAACATGGACGAAGACGAGGGCTATGGCTACCCCAAGCAGAAAAAGAGCCACAAGCACAGCACAGACTCGGGGAAAGACTCGAAACGCCACCTCCCCCATAACTCCAGCAGCTTATACGAAGAAGAAGTCAAAGTGCACGAAGATGGCTATAAAGCTGCTGTGGAGGATGGGGAAGAAGACCTGATGGCTTCTCAGGGAGGGCTGCGGCGCTTCAAGACCATTGAACTGAACAATACTAACAGCTACAGCCGGGAGATGGAGCTGAGCAGCGAGAACGACCTCAGCCTGGACCGAGAGCCAGAGCTCGAAATGGAGAGCTTGACTGGCTCCCCGGATGAAAGGTCGAGGGGAGAGTATTCATCAACTCTACCCGCCACCACGCCCAGCTACACCTCAGGCACATCCCCCACGTCAGTCTCCTCCATGGAGGAGGATAGCGATAGCAGCCCCAGCCGCAGACAGAGGCTAGAGGAAGCCAAACAGCAGAGGAAAGCCAGGCATCGATCTCATGGCCCGCTTCTGCCTACAATCGAGGATTCTTCCGAGGAGGAGGAGCTGAGAGAGGAGGAAGAGCTACTGAGGGAACAAGAGAAGATGCGGGAGGTTGAGCAGCAACGGATTCGGAGCACTGCCAGGAAAACAAAGAGGGACAAAGAGGAGCTCCGGGCACAAAGACGCAGGGAGCGATCCAAGACTCCCCCGAGTAACCTCTCCCCTATTGAAGATGCATCCCCAACAGAAGAACTGAGGCAAGCAGCTGAAATGGAAGAGCTACACAGGTCGTCTTGCTCTGAGTATTCACCCTCTATTGATTCAGAAGCGGAAGGGTTTGAAATGATAGCTTCCAAATTATACAAGTCAGGCAGTGAGTACAACCTGCCAACTTTCATGTCACTTTATTCCCCCACTGAAAAACCAACAACCACCTCCTCTTCCTCTAGCAGCAAACCTCTTAAAAGTGCAGAAGAGGTCTATGAGGAAATGATGAGGAAAGCAGAAATGCTGCAAAAGCAACAGAAGCAGCAGATGCAACACGTAAAGCAAGGGCAGCAGTATAGTAATACATACCAGCAGGAAGATTTCAGGAGCACAGGGCATCAGAACAATTACCAGTACCAATATGAAGAGGACTACGGATATGAAAAAGAAATGGGGACAGCTCATCCTGGGTACCAAAGCACTGCTTCAAAGGCTGACAACATTTACGAGGAGATCCTTCAAACATCTCAAAGCATTTCCAAAATGCAACAGTCTTCTTCACTTGACATGAGCTTGCAGCAAAAAGAAACCAGTCAGACGAACCTTTGTGGTTCTTTCCAAGACAAGCAGCTTTTGGACACTGGATCAGCATTTGCAAAGCTACTGGAGCAAAACAGTGCCCTTCTTACACCTGGCACAAGTCCTACACAGCTTTCGGCGCCTGTGTCATTTTCTTCAACAGGGACAGAAACAAGTGGAACAGGAGCGAGGGCCATTCCTGACGTTCGGGTTACGCAGCATTTTTCAAAGGAGATGCAAAAGGACAGAGCAAGGAGCCAAAGCTCTTCCGTTAGTGTTGGTTCTGCTGCTGTCACAACTGTGGCTTCTTATGTGGTGTACGGCAGGGAATCAACAGCTACTACTCACACCTCAACCGGCCAAACTGCTGCTTCCACTAGTCCATCAGCAGGGTATGGGCGCCAGACAGGGAGTGCAGCTGGCTCTGCTGTCTCGAGTAGAATTTCGGAGTATGCTCAGGCTTATAGCCAAAGGGACAGTAGTGGAAAGAGAGCTGGGGAAAGCAAGGGGACACAAGTGAGAGACAGCTCTCAGGTTGCTGCTGATAATGTCAACTTCACATCCAAAGTCTACTCTTATTTCAAAGGTTCCAGCCCTCCACTTTCCCCCTATACCTCCCCCACACAAAGCCCAACTCATTCTCCTTCCAGAATGGCCACAGCTGAGTTCTCCACACAAACCTTCAGCTCTGGTACTTCAGTGCCTACGACCGGATCTGGTGCCACCTCCCCAGTGGTGGCACAGGGCACCCAGACACCACACAGATCCATGTCACCACGCCTTTCTAGGCAGCAGTCCTCTCAAGAGTCACCTTTTATGGTCATAACACTGGGGTCTGAAGCCACCAGTCCTAGTAAGCCATTGACTGTCAACTCTTCCACCTCACCCCTGTCTTCACCTACTCGACTGAGTCGTCAACAGACTCTTCATGGTTATGGTCAATCTGCAGGTCCCCCACCTTCACCACAGCATCAGCAGCAGCAACAGCAGCAATCACAGCACGTGCTATACAAGACTCAGACACAGACAGACAGGGGACCAGTGGCAAAGGTGAATGTTGGCACTAGTACTGTCACCACTGCTAACACGTATAGCCGTGGATCCTTATCCATGGAAAATATATCCCTGTGCAGAATCTCCACTGTTCCTGGAACTTCCAGGGTAGAGCAAGGCCAAAGAATGCCCAGTGGTAGTGTAGTAGACTTAAGGACAGCAACAAAGCCTGCCCCAGTTATCATGACAGATCAAGGCATGGACCTAACGTCTGTGGCATCAGAAAGCCGCAAATTCTCTGTTGGGTCTGAGGCTAGCCCAACCCGGCACTCCACAACTGTTCAGCCACTGATCATAAACTTGAATGCTCAACAGCATCCTCGTGTTGCTATGTCAACGGCAACAACAGTGAGCATTACGGTGGCAGCATCTATGTTTATCTCACAACCAAAACAACCTGTGGTTTATGGCGATCCTTTCCAGAACCGGTTGGACTTTGGCCAAGGATCGGGATCTGCAGTATGTCTGACTCAGGGCAAAAAGCAGACTGATCAGCTTATTCCAAAGATAGATGCCAAACTTGAAGACCTGGGCATCCAGCAGCAACAGCTTCAGCAGCAGCAGAAACAGCTGCAGCAGCAACAGCAACAACTGGAGCACCAGCTCCAACAACATCACCAACAGCAACAGCAACTTCAGCAGCAGCAAGCCACTTTCGCCAGATATAATCTAGCAAATCAAGTCCAACCTTTACACAAGAAAGATATGATGGTGAGCCAGACTAACACTGCCCAAGCTGTAGTCAGTGTCAGTGCAATCCCCAGGGCATCTCCAGTCCCAGATCAAGCTGGGCTAACAGGTGCAATTTCTGCTCCCCCTCTTGACCTGTACAGTGGTGTTCCCCTGGAACTAAAGGGTCAACCTCCCATTGTCAACTTATCAGGAGTGAAGCCACATGTCATGATGGTACAACTGGATAACGCCTCCCAAGGTGCAACGGTCACCCAGCTAGTGAAACCAGGAGAGGCCCCAGATGCCCTTGACCTTACTGGGATTAAATCGGAAAACCAGGTTGCGTGCTGCGATGTGGTCTACAAATTCCCCTTTGGTGGCAGCTGCACTGGACCCTTTGCTCAAAAGCCAAAGGTGCCAGAGAAAACTCATGTGCCAGTATCGGAACCTCCTCAGAGCAGTCGGCCTCCTTCAGCTCCTCAGTACTATGGAAGCAGGGCACAGGAGGCTAGCCAAGAAAACTACCAGTACCGTGAGCAGTTAGCGGGCAGCCATGGCTTAATGGATGAGCGGAAACCCTACCCTCTTCCTTTCCCAGGACGGTTGCACCCATCCATGTCTGACACTAATCTCGCGGAAGCTGGGCTGCATTATTACCAGACAAAGACTGACACCAGTCAGCGTGGGCCTGTGGACATGGCAGTGGATCTGAGCACAATGAAACAATCCTATGGCCCCAGCTTCTCTGAGGGAGGGTACTTTGGTTTGGGTATGCAGTATGGATCCTACACAGATCTACGTCACCAGGGAGACATGATGAGCCAACCTTTACCTATACGAAGGTACAGTTCGCTGTCGAACATCAACGCAGATTACAGTTACTCATCACGGGACCTTTCTAGTTTCCAGGAGTCTAACCTAGCTCAATACAGTGCCACAACTGCAAGGGAAATCAGTAGAATGTGTGCTGCTCTGAATTCAATCGACCAGTTTGGTGGAAGATTTGGTACCAACCCAGAGCTCATGCAGTATGGTTCTGCAGGAGGAGGCGCCTCTGGAAGTAGGTTCGGTCTGCTCTCTGGGCAGCAAGGCCTACCGTCCATGAAGGCCAACCTGATGTATGGCTCTAATCTTGCTGAAGGGAGGATGTCTGCACATGTTCAAAGCCAAGCTAGCTTGGCACAGTATAATGCAAGGCAAGCCAGCATAAGGGCTATGTACCCCTCCGCAGTCAGAGCTGCAGATGGAATGATCTATTCCACCATCAATACCCCCATAGCCTCGACCTTGCCTATCACTACGCAGCCTGCATCAGTCCTGCGGCCCATGCTGAGGGGCCTTTACAGACCTTACCCCACAGGAAACATGACAGCCGTACCCTTGGCCAGCCTCACAAGGTTGCCTCTGGTAACCCCCAGGATGCCTCTGTCCTCCCAAGGACCATACCGTTACCCTCCTCCCAACCGTTTCCCAGTAGCCCCTGCGGCCGCCTCTGTAGCTCCCGCTGCCACAGCCTTGGAGACACCAGTTTACCTTGGCAAGCCTTCGGTGACCTCTGGAGTCTCAAGCGCCATGCCTTTGGCCTCTTCTGTACCAGTTACCCAGCCTACAAGCCACATGGGGGTGCCAAATGCGCAGGCGGGAGCGGCCCCTACAACAGCCCTGCCTATGGCGCAGCCCGTTGTTGCGCCCGCCAGCCAGCAGCAGCCTCAGATTCACCACCAGGCCCAACTCCCAGCCCAGCAGCAGCCACACCTCCAGGCGGCCCAGCCTCAGACCCAGCATCAGCCCCAGCCCCAGAGTCAGCCTCCCTCACAGCCCCCAGCCCAGCCGCAGACCCCAGCCCAGCCCCAGCCCCAGCCCCCGCCCCCGGCCGTGCCCGGCGTGGCCGCCGGCGGCACCGAGAAGGAGAAGGAGGAGGAGAGGCTGCGCCGGCAGCAGGAGCACCTGCTGCAGTTCGAGCGGGAGCGCGTGGAGCTGGAGAAGCTGCGCCAGATGCGCCTGCAGGAGGAGCTGGAGAGGGAGCGGCTGGAGCTGCAGCGGCACCGGGAGAAGGAGCAGCTGCTGGTGCAGCGCGAGATCCAGGAGCTCCAGACCATCAAGCAGCAGGTGCTGCAGCAGCAGCAGGTGGAGAGGGAGACCCAGCTGGTCATGCAGAGGGAACAACTGGCCCAGCAGAAGATGCAGCTAGACCAGATACAGTCTCTGCAGCAGCAGCTCCAGCAGCAGCTGGAGGAGCAGAAGAGGCAGAAAGCTGCCGCAGCCGCTGCAACGGTGGGGACGACAGCACCAGGTGCCATACAGGGGGTAGCAGTAGTTGGAGCATCAGCTCCTCAGGGATACTCCATCGTCTGTGACCAAACTGGCAGGCTGATTCAGCAAGAAGTGCCATGTGAAATGCAGAGGACAATGGGCCAAAACGGGCAGTTCTGGCAGCCCTTTATAGAAGGAGGAGTGATACAAGGAGTTATGCCCCCGCGACCTCTGCCCAGCTCTGCTTCTGAAATGTCCCTTAGGAATGAAGAGCACATGGAGGTACGGGCCATGAAGAAGAGGAATTCAATGCCCCGCCTGAGGGATGGGGGGGAATTCGAGGAAAACCAGCACTCGGTGAAGAGGATTGCTGACAGCAGCGTTCAGACTGACGACGAGGATGGGGAGGAGAGATTCTACATGTCAAGGCGCAGACGCACCAGGCGAATCGTGGACTGCAGCGTCCAGACCGACGACGAAGACAACGGAGAGTGGGAGCAGCCGGTCAGGCGCCGACGATCCCGTTTCTCCAAGCATTCCGACTCCGGATCCGAGAGCAAGGCCGATTCGTCCAAGGGCACTTCGAGCATAGCCATCCAGACCATCAGCGATTGCTCCAGTCAGACGGAGCCTGACCAGTTAGGGAGAGTCTCCCCGGCCATTCACATAACCACCCATGACCCCAAGGTGGAGATCGTCCACTACATTTCCGCCCCCGAGAGGACTCAGAAAGGAGAGAGCCTGGCTTGCCAGACGGAGCCAGAGGCTCAGTCCCAGGGCGTGGTTGTCCCCCAGCTCACAGTGCCAACCACTGTCACTCCTTACTCCACCAACATCCAGCTGGTGGGCTCTGGCCCAGTAGACCCCCTCTCTCCCCGGCTGCAAGGGGTGGCCAAGTTTGAAAAGAGGAAGCCCGATCCCCTGGAAATCGGCTACCAGTCACACCACTTGCACAACGAGTCCCTCTCCAACCTTATCCGCCAGCCCCCCAAGTCGCCCCAGGTGCTGTATTCCCCTGTGTCTCCCCTCTCCCCGCACCGCCTCCTGGAGACGTCCTTCTCCTCCAGTGAGCGACTCAACAAAGCGCACGTCACGCCGCAGAAACACTTCACGGCCGAGTCTCCGCAGCGCCAGCAGACCTTGCCCCGGCCCATCAAGACAATGCAGCGGTCCATGTCAGACCCCAAGCCCATCAGCCCGACAACAGAAGATCCGGCCAAGGCCAAATTTTCCTTGTATCAGCAGCAGGCTCTCCAGAACAGTCAGGTAAATGCTAAAGTTGTAAGAGATAATTCATGTTAGACAACTTACTTTGGAAAAGCAAGTATTGTATAGCTCGCGTGATATTCCAGGCATTTCGTTTATTTTAGTGTAAATAGTAATTATAATCTTTTAGCTTATTGTACCGTTGTGCTGTTTAAATTCCATGTTGGTCATACGCAAATTAAACAAAGACCTTTCCTTTGTGTTTTTTTTTTGTCATGTCCATTTTTCATTTGCCTAAAATCAGATCACTTTAAAAGATGATTGAAAATGCATGAATTCTGTTTTCATTCATCGAGAATACATTACTGTTGCATGGCCCTGACATACATATGATCTAGAGGCAGCTGACTTTTAGAGCTTGATTATTCAATTTCATGAAATATTTCTGACAGGCAATGCCGATGTCCCATTGTGACTCTGAAGGAGGCTGGAATGTTCATGCTTTCTGAATATGCCGGAAGAATTATTTGTAAAATCCTGTGCACTTCTCTCAGTATAAATCTGATTGGGTATCTCATCATCCTGGTGCTACACAAATATATCATGATGCAGACCGCAAAGTTGTACTGTAGGGTACGGGTTACTGTGGGCCTACTGCAGGACATGGACCCTCTCCACATGGTTTAAAAACTGTAGCAAAGGCGATGGCAAAAAAAAACGTGAGAATTTTGGCATATGTGAACATATTGTTCACAAGGGTACACCTGTCACCAGCAGGTCCCAGCAAGCTCCTCTCTAAATCAGGAAAATCCTTATGTGGTACAACCCTGCTGTCCTTCATTATGTTTGTTAGTGATTTGAGCAAGCTCTGAGCCTGAATTGCTGAATCGCATGCAGATTACTGCATTGTCCATTTCAGATTATCCGAGGAAGACTTGCATTGCACTAAAGCAGTGCAATCAAACAGTACAGAAGATAAGGAAAATGGCAATCTCAAAATGTAAAAAAAACATTACTGTGGACATTAAGATGCTGACAGTTGACTATTTTTCTTGGATTATAATTCAGTTCAGCATGAGTCTACACAGCTTGTAAAAATAGTAAGTAATTGTTTCTTTTTATAAAATTCAGTTTATAATGCTTTCTGGTTTCAAAAATTAAATTACTGCAGGATATTTGTATTTGGTTTGACCTTCCTTACTTCTAATGAGAGGAAACTCGTTAATCAGTTGCTTAACTTATAAAGTAAGTTATATAATTTCTGCATATTCTAAATATTTCGGGAGTGATGAGCATTTCTGCTGAGACTAATAATACTTAATAAAACCCTGACATTCATAAAAAGTGGAGGTTGGCTCATCTGATTGGAGTGATAGAGCAAATCTGACCATGAAAATGCATCTGTGTTAACAAAAAGAAAATGATTCAAGATTTATATTTTATTGTTCAGCCGAAATCTCACAATACTGTCAACAATTCTTGTTTTAATAATAACTGTGATCGATTTAAAAGTTGAAGATAGTATGTTGATTTTGGAGGCTTAACATAAGGGTGATGGGTTGTAGTACAGGTACTGTACATGATTTGTCATGTTTTTTGCAGGTTTCAAAGGTAAAAAATCACCCATATATTCCCTGTGTGGATATATTGTATATAATATCTGCCATGTTCGAACAAAAGTTAAGTTCTTGAATGATTAATTTTATTAAATGTACACATCAAAGTGCATTTTGTAAAAGCATAACATAAAATAAGAAGTAAAGATATGGATTTGTCTTGCACTTTTATTATAACAGTTGTTATGGATTTTTAAAATGAATACTAAACCTCACTAAAAAATATTTTACATTTTGTTCCCCAAGCAGAAGTGCAAATTCTTGAACATTGTATATTATTATTATTATATTATTTTGGAGTGTTTGATGACAGAATAAATGAAAATGATAATACTGTTACAAATATCACATTAGCCTAAAAACACGTTTAATACACACAATAGCTGTAGCATAGTGGCATCTTGTCAGAACTCAGAAGCTAAGCAAGGCTGGTTCTTAATAATGGGATGGGAGAAGAACTACAGTGGGTTGCTGTAGCAGATGGTAGTGATCCCTGAATGTCTCTCTTCCCTCTAGATCAGAGGTATCAAACCAGTGCCTCATTATGGTTACTGGGGTTACTGTACAGGAGGCAGCATCCCTTTGATTGCATGTTAGTTAAACCAATTTCCTGGCTGCTTGGACAGCAAAGATCACTTGGCACTCTAGGTTAATTCTACTCTTATTTTATGACTACATTTACTTATAATCTGACCCTCCTGGAGTGCCCCATTCACTCAATTGATGAAGCGATGTTTTTTCTCCAGTGGATCTGCTGTATAGTGGGGCACATAATGACTGCTGCTTGTCACCTAGATGAATGGTGCTGCACTTCATGGGTGCAGATGAATAACATGGGTCTAACCCCATATGTAAGGCACTTTGGGATTCTTGGGAGTATTATTATATTGGTACCTGGAAGGTAATTCAGCAATGGCTGGAAAAATATGTTAGCTATTACAGTACATTAGTTGTATAAGCCTTCCAGTCTATTAAACTCCTGTGTGATTGATTTGACATTTAGCAAATTACATACTATGAAAACCTCTATTTTAAATCATATGTTATTGTGCAACAGTACTTAATGATTCTGACCTCAGATGAATTTTTGGCAATGTATTTGAGAACTGCTGTTTTGAAGAAAAGGGTATCTGTATTAACAAGGCTATCGGAGGAGTTTGGATGAAGAGTACTTTAAATGAAATGAGTGAAGTTTGTTGCTCGAGTCTTATTCACATTGTCTCGCGCTGTCTTTGGTCTTGCAGCTGTCAGCCTTGCAACAGAACACCTTGATCCGGAAAGTAAAAAGAACCTTACCCAGCCCGCCTCCTGAGGAAGCCCACCTTCCCGTTGTCACTCTTCCTCTTCCTCAGATGTATGCACCTACCATGCCTCAAAAGGCCGGACCAAGGCCAGTGCAGGCCAACAAGGCTAGCCTGCTGAAGGACATCACCCATGAGCTGAAGGTGGTGGAGCAAGAGTCCACCAAGTTGCGCAAACAGCAGGCTGAGCTGGAGGAGGAGGAGAAGGAGATTGATGCCAAGCTTCGCTATCTGGAGCTGGGCATCACCCAAAGGAAGGAGACCTTGCTAAAGGAGAGGGAAAGGAGAGAGCTGGCCTACATGAGGTGCATGGGAGATACCCGTGACTACATGTCGGACAGTGAGCTGAACAACATGCGAATTGCGACAACCTATGAAGGCAATGGGATGTTGACAAGACCAAGCACAGCTCCCTTAAACCAGTTCAATGAGTTGACCACAGCACAGTATCCTCCCACCACCTCTTTTGTCACCTATCAGTACCCACAAACCCAGACAGCGCCACAGGCAACCACCACCTATCAACAAACTGGTTTCCAGCCCCCACAGTACCCACTTGTCACCAATGCCCAACCTCAGCCAAATACGTTTCAGACCCACCACCCTCCTCCACCATACCAGACACAGGGCACATTCCAACCTCATAACTACACCCCAAACCAACCCTATCAGCCAGACCTGGGAGTGCAGAACCACCCAGGATTTCAGCCTCCTCCTGCTCCCTACCAAACACAGGCCACATACCCAAGTCAAACATCCTACCAGCCTGGCCAGAACATACCTTTCCAACCGCAGGCTGAGATCCTTACTGTTCACCAAAAGCCACGGCAGACCTCCCTGGCTGATCTGGAGCAGAAAATGCCCACCAACTACGAGGTCATCAGCCATCCCACAGTCGTGGTGACTTCCGCCGGTCAAGAGATGACCTACACCCCCACAACTGTGACCAACAACTATGGGCAGTACAAACCTCCTGAGACCACTCTGTCCGACCGCATTAATACTGCGGAGAGTCCCACATCTGCCTACTCTTCCGAAGGCCTCTACACCAACCTGGAGCAGAACATCCCCCGCAATTACGTCATGATTGATGACATCAGCGAGCTCACGAAAGAGAACGTGGGGACTTCCTCGGACATGCAGAAGGCTGACATTCACGGCCACCCAACGAATGGGCGGTACGGGAAGGACCGGTGTGACACGGGTGAGAATGGGAGCTCCGCGAGAGTGAGCTCCTACTCCAGGGCCGAGGAGGAATCCGAAGAAGACCTATATGACCACCACGGGAGGAGTAAGAACAGCAGCAGCTACCATCAGCGAGGTGGAGACAGTCATAGCAGAATGGGCAGCAGCAGTAGCGGGGGTGGAGGATCCTCCTATTACTACGATGATTACAAGCACTCATCGCGATCATCAGACAAGCACGGTTCCAGCATGGGAATCCAGAAGCATTCGTCCAAGAATCTGGCTCCAGCCGTTGTGTCCTCCAAGCGCAGCAAGCACAGGAAGCAGAGCATGGAGCAGAAGATATCTAAGTTCTCCCCTATTGAAGAGGCAAAAGACGTGGAGTCGGACATGGCCTCTTACACCATCACTACATCCTCTGGTGGTAGCTGCAACGTCATGACGAGGGCCAAGAAGCTACAGGATGAAATCACCTACGGCTTGAAGAAGAACGTCTATGATCAGCAGAAGTATTACGGCATGTCCAGCCGCGAAGCCTTGGAAGAGGATGACCACATTTACAGCACTGGAAGGTCTAGGTCCACCGGCTACGGCATGGACAAAATCTCTTCCAGAGACTCGGGCAACCATAGGAGCAAGTCCTATGAGAGAGACACCATGGAGCGATCCCAGAGGGGCAGCCACAGCCGTGGCCGGCCGTCCATGCGCTCCCAGCACTCCGAAGAGGAGAGCCCGCTCAGCCCCTTGGGGAAGCCCATGGGTGTTGGGCGAGGTTCTGGAGTGCCTGAGCCACCTGACAGCCGCAATCAGTTTGGCTCCAGTCATTCCCTACCTGACGTGCAGGATCATATGAAGGACATTCCCAGAAGCCATGCCTACAAACCCGATGATGCTTACATCATAGATGATATGCATTGTGCTGTATCTGACAGTGAAGGTAAATGGTGCTGAATGCCAAACGCTATCCACCTTATCCCCGCCTGAGAGAAAGTGCATGCCAAAATTGCATCATGAAGCAACCAACCACTGTGTCTGAACTGACTGTTAAAGTGTCTGCTATACCCAAGGCTGAACCAGCATGTGCCTGTATTTGTAAATGTTTTTTTTTTTCCACCTCTGAAGCATGTAATGACCTGGATCTTTTTTTTCCTGGAAATATTTTTTGTAAGTGTTTGTGTTGGGTGATGTGCTGTGTTGTCTCGTGGAATTTCTGTTCTTTCCAGTTCTGTTTCCTTCCTTCGATTTGCTCTTCGTGTTTATTAACGTGCTACGTGTGCCCGAAGGATTTGCGTTTTTTTTTTTTGCATGTTGTAAAGGTCGGCGTGTTTATTGTCCCTGCATGGCTGCAGCCTGCTCGCCTTTCTCCCTGACGGATATGGAGATTGACCGTGATCTGTGTTTGGTTTTCAAAGCCTATCATTTGGGGCAGGAGGAAACGGACTGGTTTGAGAAACCGCGGGAACTGCGCTCTGAGAGATCGAGGCATTACAGCAGCGGCGGCGGCGGCGGCGGTGGCCATTCGTCCTCCCAGAGACGGAACCACGTGAAGCACACGTACCACGACTACGACGAGCCGCCGGACGAGGACTTGTGGCAGCAGGACGACTACTCTCACCCGCGGCATTCCTCCTCCTCGTCCCGGGAGCACAGGCACCACGGCAGCAACTCGGGCAGGCACTCGTCCTCGTCTCGGCACTCCTCGGAGGAGGCGAGGTCCTCCAGGTCGTCCAAAGGCCACCCCAAGGAGTCCTCCGTGCGCCACGAATCCAGGCAGGCGGCGGCCTCGTCCTCCCAGAAGAGGAGCCAGCCCGCGGATTCGAGATCCTTGCAGGGCTACCACTCCTCCGATTACTCCCGCCAGCCCTCCAGCCACCACCACGGCTCCTCGGAGGGCCAGAGGGTGCAGAAGCAGCCCCCGTCGTCCCACCATCAGCAGCCCCAGCAGCAGCAGCAGCAGCAGCCGCAGCAGCCACAGTCGTCGAGGAAGCAGGACCACCAGGCCGCGTCCTCCAGGCAGCCGCCGTCAAGCCAGCCGCAGCCCTCCTCCAGGCAGCCGCAGGCAGGAAGGCTGCCCGCATCCCAGCAGCAGCAGCAGCAGCAGCAGGAGGGTCTCCAGCAGCAAGGGCAGCAAGGGCAGCAGGGACCGCAGGCTCGCAGCCAGCAGCAGCAGGGGCAGGGGCAGGGGCAGGCGCAGGCGTCAGCAGTGAGGCAACCGCAGATGCAGCAGCAGCAGCCTGTTCAGCAACAGCCAGCACAAGCACAGCAGCAACAGGCTAAGCCAGGCCAGGCTCAGCCTCAGGCTCAGGTTCAGGCCCAAGCCCAGGCCCAAGCCCCAGCCCCGGCCCAGGCCCAGGCCCGTCCACCACAAGCAGGCCTCCAGCCAGCCGCAGCGGTAAGAGTAGAATTTTTTTGTTGAGAAAGTATTTTATTGTGCGGTGCTTTAGTCAATACCTGAGAGGTTGGAAGGACAGAGGCAGTGGTAGAAAAAGACCTTTCAGGTAAGCGCCTCCTTGGTCAGGACTTTTAAGCAGCAGCCTTTTTGCAATTTTAAATTGGAGAGAGTGAGAGGATTTACAAAGCTGTTTGAGTCCTACCACAATAGTCTTCTAGGACTGCAATTGCAAGTTTGGGCTTTTGAAAGGATGAACTATTATTTTTTTTTTGTTTGAGCCACTGTGAACACTCACAAAAATGGATGCTAAAATAGTTTCTGCCAGATGCTTTTATTAAGCAGTGACAAAGTCATGTAAATACAGGGTAACATGTGTGATAACTGTGGAGAAAGCCAGCTTTAGGCAAACTTATGATTGAATTTTTACCAAGTTGATAATACGAGAAATGCAAATTCTAATGTCTAGTCAGGGGCTGATGCACTCTTCTCCACCCCTGTTGCAGTCTATTGCATTAACCCGACTGAAGACATCATTAAAATTCACTAATTTGTAGCAGTCAGCTTAATAGTACCTGAAGGATTTGATGAGTTTTGACAAATTATGGTGTTTAAATTGAGCGGAGCAATTTCATTAGAGTTCCTTTTTGTTTTGCTGGCTCATAGCTATTAATTTCTTGTCAGTTCCATATTCTTTCCACATGTCACTGGCAGTGTTAATAGCAAATTTGCTTCAAGGCTGGGTACAAATCCCCTACAAACAACAGTCATCCTGTTCCCTATTGATTGCATTTGCGTTATCGTTGTACCTCAGCTGATTATTAGGCTACTGAAAAAGCTGCTATTATAGCATAATATACTGGAACCCTGACACTGTCAGCAGGCGGCATATTCTTGGGTTTTAATAATAAAGTCAGAGATTGTGATCAATTATTTTGCTCACATTGCTGTTTGTCTTTGGTTACGGACAGCGAGAACTAATCATATTTCCTCTAGTAATTTCCTCCTTTCTTTACTGTCTTTTTTTTTTGTTTTTTTTGCAGGCAAAGACAAATTTGGCTGATGCTGCCAAGCCGGGTGTGAAGCCAGCCGCACAGCCTGCTAAAGCACCACAGGGTCCTACAACGGCGATAGGTGAGTAAACCATCTTTCCTAAGATCCGTCATTCTTTCCACAGTCTCTGCCTGTGTTGCTAAATAACGGAGGTGGTGAGAAGAATATGTATTTATATACACCACTGCATGGACAGCAAGGTGGCGTGGGGATTTACGCCCTTCTGAAGATCACCTGCAGATGGTTCATGGGGTTCAGCAGAGAAATGGGACATGAGCTTCTTAGGGGCACTGCAGCCTCACAGCTCTGTCCCAGGGGTCCCGGGTTTAGTTCCAGACTTCTGGTTCTGTCTGCGTGGAGTTTGCAAGCTCTCCCCCTCTCCCCCTGTTTTGCGTGGGATTTCATCAGATGTTTCTGAGATTTATGGGTAACTTTTAATTGGCTACTAATTGCCTGAATCTGTAATTAGCTCACTGTCACTGTGGTTGAACACCCAGCCCCCCCCGCCCATGAGGAAGATGGCTGGTCCCCTGTATCCAGAAAGAAAGAGAGGTGCAGGGGTGTCCAGTCTTGGTCCTGGAGGGCCTGTGTGTCTGTGGGTTTTCATTCCAGCTGGTTACAGATTTAACTTGGCCAATTATACAGCTTCTCCTGGGGCATCTTGAAAGTGACCTTGAGTACCTGCAGACACAGTCTCTGCGGGACCTGGATGGGGCAGCCCTGCACTTGAAGAGGAGAGGAAAACTCCTAGTCGTAATATAAGAGCTGAGGACACAGAAAAGATGTCACGCCCCACAGTCTTCCTCACAAACTCCATTACATTCCTACCACCATTCCTAGCTGAACCCATGGCATTCTCACAGGCACCAGATTCCACAGAGTCTCACTCCTGGACCGATTATCCAACCACGTCCCTCTCCCTCACGCACCAAACCATGCTCACTCCTTTAGAGTTCTCTAGTGCGCGTTTTTGTCTCATTGCGTTTCCCTTTTTCGATCTCGTGTCTTGGATTTCGCCTTTCGGATTGTCTTCTCGGTTTGTATCGGATCTATCTGGTTAGCGGATCTCTAGCTTCTGCTTTCGACCTTGCTTCTGGATTACGATCTTGGATTGTTTGCCTCTGCATCCCGCAGAATTCGCAGCTACACACAGGATCCCCGGAAAACTCCCTGCCGGTTCCCTGACAAAAGAATTACAGTCAGGTATCTTTAGAAAGCATTTGCAGTGTTTGTATAGGACGCCACTACCAGAACTATTCATTCTGTGCTTGACAACAGAGGTAAAGAAAAAGGATTTCCTAAACAATTGTCCTTGTCATCCTTTTAAAACTGGGGGATTATCCAAAAGATAGCTTTGAAAACAGCAAACTGCAAATATGGCGCAAAAAGAAAATCAACCAATAAGAGCAACTCTTTTAAACAAGATAATAGAATTACTGTTTTTATGTCTTCAGGGAAGTTTATCCACTATAGTACCATTTAAATTGAAATTAATTCCACATTGATAGCTTAACCGTTGAGTAAATCTTATAATCTCCTGGTTGATCTGACTGTTGGAGGATGATCATAATTATACTGCCATGCAACACTGTAGCGCTGTCATGGTATATTTTCTTAGCGCAGGATCCGCCAGCATGCCAGCTCAGAAATCATTTCAAACACTGGGTTGCAAGAACCGATGTTCTCAGTGGGTTAATATCGGTGCTATTGTTGTATCTCAGTAAACCTTGGAGAGCTCAGTGCATCACACGCGGGAGTTTCTAAACTGCAGGGGGCTGCATTTTTTAATCCAAGCCTATTGGAGCAGAAGGCGTCAAGAGAGGGTTAACGATGTATCTGCAGTTCGCTCTGGTTGGGACCTTTCGCGGCGCGGAGGCAGAAGGCTGCCAGGGGCTCCTGTTTCCCCCCTGAACACCAGAGGGGATGAAAGCTTGATTATCTGACCTGCCCACGGAGAGCGGCGGCTGTGACACCGGCTGTGATTTGGGCTTTTCCTTCAGGTGCTAAAGCCGCCCCCAGGCCCGGAGGGGCAGGAGGGGCCGCAGCAGGGCAGGCTGCTGCTGACGGGGAGAGCGTCTTTTCCAAAATCCTACCGGGAGGGGCAGCGGAGCAGGCTGGCAAACTGGGAGAAGGTACCGTGTGCTTGTTTTGACAGGGGCCTCTGTGACCGCTGTGAACCAAGCGAGCTGCTTTCATCAGGGGACCCTGTTTCTATTGGTAGGAATAATCCGGGAATTCTCATCTGCATCTCGGTGCTGGGCTGTAGGGGAACGGTTTTGTTCATAGAAGCGGATTGCTTAAGCAAGGCATGAAATGGACGTTGAAATGAATCCAAAAGGTTACAAAGCCAAAGTCATTTCTTGTTTCAGTTTTGGCTAATGGAGCCGACTGATGGCATGCATACTCATGGAGCAAAGAGACGGCAGGAAACTCGTGCCTCACAGATGCAGTGTTGCTTTGCTCTTCCCTTCTTAAATATTTGTTTCCTTGGTTTAAACAGCTGTGTCGGCTTTCGGCAAGAAATTTACTTCATTCTGGTGAGCAGCGAAGTAGAGGGTAAGTAGCTCTCACTTTTATTAAGAAGAGTGATTTCTCATTTTGCGAGAGACATAAGGCAAAGAGGTGGACAAAAAAATCCTTTTGCCAGATACAAGCAAATTAGTCACACAAAGGAAGCCTGATATAAATTGCTGTTTTCAATTGCCTTATCTGTCTGTTGACTGCACTATTATTTTGTCAATCATTTTTTTGTGAACAAATTATAATCTGTGTTTTCCCTCTTGGCTAACTGCTTGATAAGACCTCTTGTTCAGGGGTTGTACAGTAATGATCTCTCCAAGGTCTCTATCCACCTGACACGTTTTCCAGGTACGTTTTATCTTCACAATGTGTGTCTGAGCAGTGCTGGACATTTTATGAGAAGGCGCGTCGTGTTTATTTGAAACCCCAAGGCGAGTTCAAAGTGAACACATCAAACAGTCAACACATTTATGAGGTTTCATGAATTTAGCTGTGACATAAAATGGTTTGTGCCTTTCATAAACCTTTTGATTTTTTTTCTTTTCAGCAGTTTTTAAATTTATTTTAACTAAGTGTTGTTTGAAAACCCTTGATCGGCATGAGTGTGAAGAATGCTTTGCTTCTGCTTTTCAGGGCTCCTGGAGTAGAAACGACGAAGAAAGAGTGAGGCTTTGTACTTGAAAAACCTATGAACACCCCCCTCGTGTAATTTATTGACAAGAGAGAATTGTGGACCTCTGAGTGCAGCAGTGAGTACAACTGTATTTCAACAGCTCAGTGGAAATTGCTTTGGCCTGAAGAGAAAGATCGTATGGATGACAAAAACAGAAAACGTGTTTGAGAGGCTACTTTGTATTGGTGGACCAGTAGGGGGTTCTCTTCTTTTTGGACCAGAATTTCTCCCACAGTAATATCTTGGTGTGGTGACTGAGGGATATTATATTGCAGAGGCACCAGCTTCCGGATCAGACATTAAACTGTTCTCTGACTATTAGGTATCCCCTGACTATGGTAAAGAGAGCAGGGATATTCTGCCTGTGCTCCCATTTCTCAACCAGATCAGCTATGTTCTAGGGCTGCTGGTGCAGGAAATGGGTAATTTCCTTGAAGGGCAGTGAGCTGCGATCCTTTGGGAAGAAGAGTGCTATAGAAATGCATACACATCACTGCTGTTTTGCAGAATGTTCAAAATTTGATGCATGCCTAATTTAATTGTCTAAGTGTTGTAGCAGTTCTCCAGCCATGGTGATATGAAGGAAAAATAAATTGTTTAATCCCTGATCTCAGAGACTAGGTGCCTAATCTATGGTCTCAGCAGAGAAAGCTGAGCTTCTTTACACAAAGGCTTGTGGGAGTCTGGAATGAGCTCCCCAGCCATGTTGTTCAAGCCAATACCTTGTCTTCTTTCAAGACATGATTAGGATGAAATCCTTGGTTCAGAATTGTTCTAGCAACCAAACAAGCTAGGTGAGCCAAAATGGCCTCATCTCATTTGTAACATTTCCCTTTTGTTCTTATATGTTTCCTTATATGAGATTTTGCTTTCAAGCAACTTCCATTATTCGGATCCATTGCACGGAAGCAATGGGGAAAAAGCATTGTAATGTAGTAATTATAAGAGAAGCAGGTTCATACGTACAGTACATTCTGAGGTTTACATGTTTTGCACATTCACCCTGCAGTCTAAAGCAGATGTGTCTTCTCTGTGTCCCCCGATCACAGCACATGGCAGGCACATCAGGCAATTATTTGCCCATGCTTGAATCCAGCATCAGGATTGATGTTGAAGTAGATTGTTAGGGATAAGTGTCGAGCAACATTAAACTTCAGCCTTCTGGAGGAGAAGGAGAAGGTGTTCATCCACTGTAGTGCAGCAGTGTGCCAGCCGACGGCCACTGACCGCTGTGTGCCATCCTGTGGCAGGAGGAGGAGAGCTGTTGCTACAATGCAGATGGAAACCTCCAAAGAATCTGTAGAAAAAAAAATGAAAGGAAAGCAGGTCCAAATGTAAATCATTACTGTTTTGGAATGCTTGTAATAATGAAAACCAAAATAGCAATATTTGTTATATACAGTATCAGACCACATCACAACCTCAGATTGAGACGTCCTCAGTAGAAGAATGGAATGGAATGGGGTGCAGAAAATATTCCAAGGCCATTCTTGTTGCTGGCCTGATATTTGGTGGGGGTCCCTCCTCACTCTGTGACCAGTGAGTGTAAGTGTATAAAAAGCCAGGCTGACCTCAGTGATTTCTGCACTGCTCTTTGCTTCACCCAGGCATCCAGGATTGGGATCATGGGTACCTGGCAAGCACTGGAGGTCCTAAGCGTGCACACATGATGGAGGAGAGACTGTTATTGCTTCCTCAGGCAGGAGGTAAGAGGGTGGGGAGCAGGGATATTTCTGCATCTGCATCGCAAAGACTTTGCAGCTTCCAGTTTACAGGCCGAAAGCCTGGAGGGGAGAATGGCTCCAGCCAAAACCACTCCTCCCAGTTGCTACCTAGTGTTTAAAGAGCAACACGAAAGATTATTACCACTGTGCTCGTCTCTGTGGGAGAAAGGTCTGCAGTCACAGAACATGCTAAACGTTTATTTTTTAATGACAGGGATTTAGAATCACTTAGAAATGATAAAATGTTAGATTCACATGTTGTCACTGTAAAAAGGCATCGTCCTTCGGATGAGACGTAAAACTGAGGTCCTGACTCTCTGTGGTCGTTAAAAATTCCCAGGGCGTTTCTCGTCCTGGCAAAATTTCCCGTTGGCCCTTACCTATCAGGGCCTCCTAATAATCCCTGTCTCTGAACTGGCTTCATCACTCCTCCCCACTGATCGCTGGTGTGTGGGGAGCGTTCTGGCGCACTATGGCTGCCGTCGCATCATCCAGGTGGGGCTGCACACTGGTGGTGGTGGAGGGGATCCCCATTACCTGTAAAGCGCTTTGAGTGGAGTGTCCAGAAAAGTTCTATATCAGAGTAAGCAGTTATTATTATTATTATGATATTTTCATAGCATGTTCCATCTGCAGAAATCACTAAAATCCTATATATTGTAGTATTTTATTAATTTTATTTGAATTGCGACAAACTGCTTGTTTTCCCCTTCTTTTCAGCCTTGCCCTTGAGCTCAGTAAACACGAGAACATGGAGCATTTCAATCTGAATCTCAGTGCGAACCTTGGGTTCTGACAGGGCACGAGGCGAAGCTCATTTCTGCTTCATCTCAGTATTTTGTTGCCTGTTCGGTCTCTTAAAAATATAGATTTTTGATACAGTTCCAGGGTCACGTAACACCGTGGGGAAAGAAGAAGCATCATTAAATGAGGCAGTTTCACCTATCTCCCCCCCCCCCCTACTGTTTGCAGGAAGTAGACTATTGATCTCCTGGTCACCTATGTGACGCGCTGTGAAACGAAATAGCAGGGAATCAATTTTGAGAAACAAATTTAGCCATTTTCAGAGGAGGTTGTCACAGTAAGGGATGTGCAATAGCTTCAATAGGCATGTTAAAATAAAGAGGCCTAAAAGACAGATTTAAATACAGACAAGAATCTCATGCTGCTCAAAGTTGCATTGACTTGCATATAATTTATGATTGTAGGTCTTGGGCTAGATAGAACTGGTAATTATTTGCCATTGGTTGATCCCTGTGTTAGCCAAATACACAGACACATGTCTTCAGTCAGTGTTGCATCTTTATTGACCAGAAGAACGCTGGATGTTAAAGAATCTGTAATTAAAGTGGTCATTTTTTTCCTTCATGAGAATGACCGCACCGAGAAGGAAGATATTTGCAAAAGGGATATTTTTAATATCCTCCCAGAATGTCAGCTGCAATCTTTTGTTAGTCCCACTGTGAAATTAGGAGCAAGCAGAAGTTAAATCCACGTTGAAAACAGTTTGGTTTGTGGGTTCTTCATAGAATGAAGATGTGCATGCATTCAAATAAAATGAAGCCGTCCACCTCACAGGTTAGGAAAACAGTTTATGTGTTTGTTTCTAAATAAAATGTAGGGGAAAGCTTCAGGCCTGTGAAGATTAAGTAACTGGAATAACTGTTCTACAGCAAGGGGATTAAAACTGTTTTATAATGCTTAGACTTCAGAGAATCTGCAGTGAAAGCCCACAAAGATAACTAAGGCGGTAAGGTTGTGTAGCCCTGCTGTGAAGTAAATAGACATAGTTTAAGAGACACAACGGGGTGTTTAATTATGTGATTATACTTCTATAATGAGACCCATGCAGAAGGATATTGATGTAATGCTTTAATATATATATGCTGCTTGCACGATGTGAGAGGAAAACGACTGTAGCTCTATCTTCATGAAAAAAAAAACTTCCATTCCGAATAAATTCTGAAATAACGGGAAGAGATTAAAGCCAGACAACCTAATAGCTGTAGCTAATCAAACAAAATTGCGGCTAAAGTCCCTGTGATTTTCATGTTCCTGCTCTAGGAACGTCTATCCCCACTGGACTCTGTCTAATACACTGATATTGGCTGCCGGTTAATTGCACATCAGCAGCTGTGGATGGGATCAGTTTACAAAAAAGGCCCATTAAAAACAGTTATATAATCCCCTAATTAATTCTGCTTCAATGAAGCGATCCAATTTAAGTAAAATAATACAATAGGTGAATGACACATTTATTTTAATTTCAGATTATATTATTACAATTTAGTGCATCCAGTGTAAGCACTTTGCTATGATCTTCTTTTTTTCCCAGTTATTTCTTTTTAAGTTTCTACTACCCCACGGGGAAAGAAAAGTACTGCCTTCCCATTCAAAATATATTAAATTCTTTTTTTTTCGCATAAAAGAAATTTGATTTCAGCATTGTGAATATGACAAACCACAGACATTACCACTTATTCTTCAAGCAGAGCATTTTCTGTTAAAAGAACTAGCATCCTTTGGTCAAGGTGGGGTAATTGCAATAAATGTAAATGATGAAAAATGATAAAAAATCAAAATGACTGACTCTGTGAGTTTGTAAGACAGTTCTGCCTCCTGTAGTATTGTGATCGGATGAAGAGATAATGAATAGTCATAATGTATACAGTATGTGACTATGGATTTGCTTTAGTGCTTGTTTTGGCAGCAGTGTGCTTGCTTTAGTAGCATATACTGTACTTAAATTGAAACGATACAGATTAGATGGGCATGGCCTCTACACAAGGATGACATGCAAGTTTGTTAGGGCTGTGGGAGTCTGGAAGCTCGCTACCCAGGCACGCTTTTGAGGCTCATACCCTGGCTTCTTTCAGGAAGTGGCTGGACGATATTCTTGGATCAGTTATCCACCAGCTATCAATGGACTGAATGGCCTCCTTTTTGTTTGCAACCATTCTTGTTGTTTTTTTTTTCCATAAATACAAGATGTCCTTCTCAACAGGCCTTTTAAAATACTGAAGTAAACAACAGATACTGTACCTCTCTGGTTAACAGCTAGAAATGGATGGCCACTAGTGAAACACGTGATCAGCACAAGGATTGTGCTACCTATACAGAGAGAATCCCAGATTCTTATCACGGAATTCCAAAATGCAAGAGATGCATTTCCATGTAGATTTGGTGTTACAACCTATGCATTTATACCCACCAGAGACCGATATTGCAAGAGATCTAATTGAGGGCAAAAAGAAAATTAATTTTTTTGGAATAATACGATAAAACTGAAAGCATTTGCAGATTTTCAAAGCTTACCTGGGCTGAGATTCCACTTGTGTTTGTTATCATTGTTTGTGTTACAAGGACATCGGTCACAAGTTTAGTAGATGCTGCTCATTCATTAGGCTGTTTAAAGGTGGTCGTGTTGCCCAGCTGTAGCTACTCATGCAAGCTGTCCTCTTTCAAGGTTAAAGCCAGTGGAGCAGGGATAGAAAGTACTGTGGCTGGGGGGTATCCTGTTTCAGGGACAATTAAAGGTGATGGGAGATCCTCACCTGGGAGATGGGGTTAATATGCCAATTTGATACTATTGTCTTTGCATGCTTGAAAAACTTTTCCAGCTGAGTGGTATAATGTGGTTAAAAAAAAATACTGTGGAACTGTTCTTTTACAACATCGTGTTAAAATCACTTTAAGTGTGAAATCCTGAAGCACAGAAGCAAGCACACATTATCTGAAATGATCTAGATTCATGCTGGAGTCCCTTTCACTGGGTCTGACGTAAACACATCGAGACTGGCGTGAACACATCGATGAAACTGCTCTTTTTCAAGAATGGAGGTCTCTCCGGGGTCAGCGAAATGCTCCAGGTGTAGCTCTGTAAAGGAAACGAATGATGGTGTCCTCTAAGGCAGTGCCATGGAGCGCATTTCTGGCTTGCCAGCACTGTAACCACTCCTTGGTTAAGATTTTGCACAACAGTCAGAAAGTAAGTAGGTAACTACTGTATATATTTACATATACACCACATGAAATATAGTACTTGGCATTGCTCTGTACATTCTGTAGTTCTGGAGTAAGGGGTTTTATATGAATGTTAGTAAATTTAATATGCCTCTAAATCAAGAGAAGTTGTTGAAATGCTCTAATTAAGACAATAATCAGTCCAGATAGACTCATTAAGAGCTGAATGGGAATGAAAACCTGGAACCTCACAGACTCCATTAAGACACTCTTCTCTGCCCTTAGACACGTTAGAACCGGCATACTCAGATCCTTTAAATAATGTTTGTCCTCCTTAATTCTGCAATCCTGTAACCGCCCTCTTGCCCTTGAGCAGCTGGAAGATCAGTAACACTTGCTGGTCTAACGGTGTAAAGATACAGTATGCCATATATATGATATATGATATACAGTATGATACAATATATGGTTTTCGATAGATATCAGACTGAAGCAGACGGTTTACAGTAGTATTTGCTTGCTGCGGTCAGTGACACGGATTGCGAGTCACTTGAAAAGCACCGAATTCCGCAGTATGTTTTAACACTTTAAGATGGGAGTGTGAAGAGATTGGTTTTGGTTGGAATGACTCGTTTCTGTCTCCGGTCATTCCTCTTGGTGCCATGTCAGTGTCTCGAGGTTTTGCGGAGCTTGTGTGAGTCTGTGGTACTGTAGCAGTGTGGATGTTGGCCTGTCCACCTCCGGGAAGCCAGGCTCTGGAAAGACGTTCCATTTGCTCCCAGTACCAAATTCAGCAGGTTGGAAAAGGCTAACGACACCTCTAAGGTACGCACAGGGTGCTTTGAGCTGCAGTGACCACACCTGCGATTTCAAAACGAGTTGTCTTCACTAGGATTTTGCAGCACGTTATCTGTGCAGTCCCAGGGGAAACACACAAATGTGCAAGGCCAAAGAGCTATAAAGCAAAAAATCCTCTTTTGTCAGCAAAGTCCCTGTGACTGCCTTCCACCCCAGTGCTTTTATTTATGAACGTCCTGTTGAATTACCAAGGCATACATGCAAATTGATTCAAGCACCGCGCACGCACACCCACACAGTCCATTACATTATCACCCCTCCTACCATTCCCACCAAGTTAATTTGCCATGTTTGAAAGCCGGGAGAGTGTAAAAAGCTGAACCTCACCGTGAGACAGAGAGAAAAATTGCATATTATTAAAAATCAATGACTTTAAGCAATACTTTTACCTGCGGCTTAGTGGAATAGAGCTTTTTAGCAACAATGATCTCATGGGGATAGAAGCTTTAGCTTTGCTTTTAAACCCTTTAACTTGTTTTCAGCGTAGAGGTAAAAAAAAAACACTCGGCATTCTAGTGAACAGTGATCGTCTAGAAGTGATTATATAACACGAGTAGTTGTGGTCGTTGCCGTGATTTATTTTACACCTCTGCCCCCTAGTGGTCACGTTTTAACAAGCGTAAGTCCCGGGGTGCCGGTGTTTTCCCCCCATTCTTGACTGTGCATCTTGAAAAAAAAACCTTCTGAAAGACGATGTTTAAGATCCGCCTGCTTTGTCACATACGCAAAAGCAGAGAATGAGGTTAGAAACGCCAGAATTCATGTTTATTTTTTTTAAATGTTAAATGTTAAATGTCCTGAGAAGATGAGCAAATACTGTAAGTGTACTGTACGTGCGGAACAAAACACTGGTGGCAAATGTATTTTAGCTTGTAATGACCGGACCGAGACTGACTCGCGTCCTGCTGCTGGCCCCTGACAACAGCAAGATTCCCACAAGCACCCAGGTTTCGCTTAAACCTTCAGTCCTTCAATCAGACTCCCGATCTCGTTCCCAATCACACTAATCACCTCTCTGTTCAAGTCTGTTAAGGGTGCCGAGTCCCCCATCCATTCCGTCCATCCGAGATGAGACCGCCACTTACTCCTGTCAGGGGATGTGGCAACCTGGAATTTATCCACAGGGCGCAAAGCAAGAATGCATCCTGGTGAGGACACCAGTTCTTCGCAGGACACACACAGGGACGGTTTAGAGACGCCAGTTAATCTATACAGCATGTCTCTGGGAGACAGTTGGGAGATGGAAGGAAATGAGAGCTTTTAAAAAACGTTTTGATTTGACACTGATTTTACCCCCATGTTGTGACAGCTAATATATCATGTGTCGCTTGTGATCACCAGCATTACTTAACCAAACATTTCTGACTTCTGTGTGCTTCCAATTTGCAAAATCTTACTAGGGTGATCGGACTTTCAGCCGATGACGAATCGCGCTCAGAATTAGCACGGACAGTACCTGGCTGTCAAACCGCGAAACCTGTCAGCTCTCGGGTGGAAGGGGTTTGGCTTTAACTGCAGGGTGACGCTGCAGTAAATTTCTGTGTCGGTTTGTGTTGAGCTGGGTGGCTGTGACACGCTGGCAGCAGGCGATCAGACTGCCATTGAGCAGGTTCAGCCCAGAGGGGACAGCCCCACCACAAACAAGACCCTTCCTGCAGCCCGTGGCAGGAATCTTTTGCATTTGTTTCATGTCTCACTGCAGGCACAGGAAAGGAAAATACAGTAAAAACAATAAAAGCAGCAGCAGCCTCTCCGTGAGATTTAGGCGTTGGATGTGTAAAAGGGTGCAACAGGTATAAAAATGCAGACTTCCAGTGGACAATGACATCTGCCTTCACAGACTAGGAACTGGGCCAGTCTTTCAGGTTGATTCAAAAATACCCCACAGCTACGCATAATGGAACCAGATAAAGGAAATAAGATATTGAAGAAGGCTTCACAGACGAAACGTTGTGTTTTTCTCTCTTCTCTTTTCGGTATGGAGTAAGCCTATTACTTGTTCCTTTGCAGATATTGAAATAGACTGTAATAACGTACAGTAGTTTAATAGACGGTCAGATTAAGACGGGGAGCGGGGAGTTTGCAAAGCATAGTGGGTCAATCTCTGGACTCATAAGCAATGGTTGAGGGTTCAAGATCCCATTGCACTACTGACAATACAGAGAGCAGGGTGAGCTATGGTCCAGTAAGGCACTGCTCTAGTATGGACTCAGATTTGGTCACTCAAGTCTTTAATTAATACTCACAGTCAAATAATAACGAAGAATGAGTTAAATCATATTAGATTTCTTTCAGTTTTTTAATTGAGCTTTTAAAGGACTTTCATCATCTGGGCTGAAAGACTAGATTGCCGATCTGCTCTGTCTGAAGTCAATTTGATTTGACCGGCGAAACCAAAGATAATGTTTTTTTTTCGCAGAATGGGCTTTGAGAGAAGAACTTCTCGACTCGATTCTCAACCTTAGCCAGCACCGAGTGTGAGATGTGACAAGCTTTTCTTCAGTGGCCTGCTACTGGTTGGAGTGTAGCTTGCTTTGGTAAGTCTAACACAGCTATCA